TCATTTCTAACTACAAGAATTACAACATTAGAGGGTGAGTTATCATCAGTTGGGAAAGAAAATGTTGTAACCTTTTCGTTCTCCTCTCTCGAGTGTTTTTTCACTTGCTCTTTTTTAAGTTCTTCCTCCATTGTTTTGCCCATGTGAGTGTAGTAATTCAAGGCTTTTCGAACAGGCTCCACAAGATGTTCCTGGTGAGGAAAGCGAACAAAGAGCACGCCATGAATACCTGTGTAAAAGAGTCGGCGCCAATGAATGGTTCTTTTACTGTTGGAGGAAGGAACTGTGTTTTGAAAAAGAGATTAGGGCGCTATTGTCGACAAATCAGCTCTTTTTAGGAACAGGGTGACTCCCTCACAGATTATAGACTCAAACTGCATAAAATTTCTTGTACGTAAACACTAAGAAACTTAAGTATTTGTGAGTAACTAGCTATCTAGTCAAACTCTTATTTGGTAGTAGCCCTGCCCCATAACAATGGAGATTGTGTTGAGCTGTGACCAAAAGATCAGACAGCTTAAGTAGATATTTCTCAAGTGCTTTACAAGCCTGCCTCGTTTGCAGTCTTGTGAAAGCTAGAATAAGTAAATAAAATAGTGTGGATTTTCTTGCCTACACGTTTGGGAGAAGATCCCCGACTGAAAGCAGGCCCTTAAAGTAACTCTTGTTTGCCTTACGTGCTGCGAATCAATCCATCCCACCTACCAAAGCCTAACCCATGAGCCCAATTTACCTAACAATTGTACTCGTGTCAAAAGCCGGCAATAACAGAGTTTTAAAACTTAACCGTGGATAGAAATATTTTAGTGCGCCACTGGGTTTACTGGGATAGTATCAACGAATGGGTGTATTCGTAGAAAAACTTCAACGCGATTTGCACGTTCTGTGTATGATTGCAGGAATATAGTGATTTTTCTTAAACAGAGACAGATTTTGTATGTAACTGGATTGATATGGAAAAGAACTAATATAAATGAGTATAAGGTACCTCCAAAACTGGAAAGAGTTGTTCAAGTGCTTCAAATAGTGGGATCAAAACAAATCGAATAAAACCAATCTGAGCTGATGGCTTGGTCACCTGAGACGGACAAAATACACAAGGAATATGTAAAAAGCCAGCCACACGTAAGCAAAAACTGAAGTGACACAGAGACATACAGACGAGAGGGAAGAGCCGAAATGGCATACAAACAATCAAATAAACAGGCAAACAAATAAGTAGAGGAAATAAGTCAAATAAATAAACCGATTGGTCCAGAATTACACAAAACAAATACCGAACCTTATCTCTGTCCATGAATGGTGCTACTGGTAAGCCTTCCAGCTTCTCCACATCACTCTAAACACGAAGGAAAAAAAAAAAAGATTTGACAAATTTGGCGCTGGGTGCATGTTTTCGTTTGGCACACGCTCGGCTGACAATGCATATATATTCCCGTATTCTGCAGACTGTGCATATATTTTCCCGCGCTTGGCACACAGTGGATATAATTTCCTGCGCTCGGCAGGCAAAGCATATATTTTCCCGCGTTCGGCAGACGGTACATATATTTTCCCGCGTTTAACATTGAATGCGAATGCTTTCGCGCGTTTGGCACTGGGTACATTATAAGGCTATGTTCACACGGCACAGGACGAATTTTCAACCGACTGAACTGAATATTTGACCGGACACTTCGTTCACACGGGACCGTTCAATAGAGTGATTTTTGTATGATCTTGAAATGAAAACGCGCGAACAAAACAGAAAAAACAAACGAAAGGAAATAGAGCGATTTGATTGGTTTACCGAACGGATACAAACGCGCGTGGCTTTCGGTTGGTTAAGCAAACGCTCAGGTAAAAAAACTTCATGCCCGAAAAACTTTTCTAGAAATCAACCGATACTTCGCTTTGACGTCATATTGCAACACGATTGGCCAGTCGAACAATGCCTTCTCCATATTAGGGTGTTCTTTGGTGGGAAAACGAAGAGTCCATGTTTTGATCTTTTCATACATTGGCTGATAAAACAAATAACGCACACTTACCGAAACCAGTTTTCAAGGTCATACGCCGGAAATCGCTCCAAAGTGGTTCTAAGGTTGGTGTGAACGGAACACCTAAACGCACGAATTTTCAACCGCTCCAAATACCAAACACCGTTTCTTTAAGTTTACCATTAAAAGCTAATACAAACCTGAATAAAGAACTCTTGCAAGAGACAATCCAGCCACGGTTCAGCCACTTCCATCGGCCGGGCTTCATTTGACACATCCGATACTTTGATCATTATCTGCATTAACTGCAAAAGAGAAATTAATCAAGAGATGGGAGTCAGGCCGTACCCTTACCGCAAAATACACTCTGCTTTACTCCAGCTAAAGGGTTTACGGTCAAGACGTCCGAAAGTCATCTCGCCCGAAATGCTGAGTTATGTCGCCCAAAATCCTATTATTCTCAACAACATCCTAACATCTTTATCGCCGCTGTTTCGTCTCATCAAATCTTAAAGAACGAGATATATTACTCATTTATCGCGCTTGTTTCGTTTCATCAAAGCTTAAGGAACGAGATATGTTACACAGTTACCCCGCTTGTTTCGTCTCATACGAGATATATTGCATGCACTCTTCAGTAAAATTTCGGGCGACTTATCTAAAATTTCGGGCGACATAACTCTGGTTTCGGGCGAGATGACTTTCGCGCAAATTGACCGGTTACCGGCAAAAGCCATTACATGTACTCCCTCACGTCCCCAAGTAACCAGGACAACCGAAAAGATATCTTACCATGGACTTGTGTGCCTCGTTTTCAAAGCTAAATCCATCAGCCAAAATGTCCTTGAACTTGTTTAGGATCTCATTGTGTCTTGCCATATCAGTGGACAAAATACATCTGCAAAAAGAGATTAATACCGAATTCTCTTTAACAGATAATTTTAACATAATTTTGTTACTTTCATCAGATTTGACAAGGACAAGACAACAACTCGCAACTGCGGGCTCGTATCAATTCCTTTCCCCACACAACCCATGAAAGGTATAGAAGCCACGACATAGGGGTTGGGTCCTTTACGTACATTTCGAACCGACATGGAAGGATGAATGAGACAGGGCCAACAGCTTATGACGTAATCAACTAAATTAAATGACGTCTCCATCTAACCTATAGTAGCCTGCGAATACAGCTGTCTCTCCTCGCCGCTGGGAACGTTTCGCGCGAGACAACGCCCTAGCGGCGAAGAAGCGTGGAGGGACAGCGGCCTGGTATTCAGTGATCAATGAGGCTAAACCTATAGTAGCATGTCTAGCACTCAAATTTAATCCTCTGCTACAAATCCCACGCACCTTCATTGTCTCGTAACATTAAAAAATAGCTATGATTTGATCTAACATTTGTATTTTTTCAAACATCGAGAGAAAAACTACTGAGTAGAGAAAAGACTCAGCAACAATCTTACAGCTTTTTATAATTATTACATGTTTTCAATTTCAGTCTTTGAGAACTCACTTGATCATTCCTTCGCGGAATGTTCTGAATACGTCTTGGCTAACATTTTTGAGGATGTCACAGTGGGGCTGGAATGAGAGAAAAAGAATACATAGAACTATAAGTGCATAACAAGACATCCTTTACACCATTTCTCGTAAAAACATGTTAAAAGACTTCAAAGCCAATTTTACTTCATCATGGCACACAAAGCCGTGTCTAACTGAGTAAGGCTACGCTTACCCAAATTTACCAATTTTTTACCTGAGAGATGATGTCGAATGCCACGGCGCAATGGTGGTTTTCAAGTGGGGAGATGTCGTTGTATCGTATGGCAAGCTCTGTTCTGGCATTTACCTTAAAGAAAAGAAAGTTATAAACATGATGAACTGATTTTCAAATTTTAAACCAGTTTTTTTTCTACAAGGTTCAATAACTGTCAGTCACTGTTGTCAGTAACTGTTACCCTTTACAAACCCACCATCCTCTTGCGGCAAATCACCTTGGAAACAAGAAGCTTCGAAGGAAGCATGCGCGAGTCTGCCTCCTCCGCAACCTCCGGCGCCTTGTTTTTCCCACAGAGGCGAGCGCGAAACACGAGTGACTGGTGACGAAGCGCAAGGGACCATAGGAAGGAGAAAAATCTGCCAGATGTCTCGCCCGTTTTCTTCTTCCCGCCCTCCTTTGCGCCCAGGTTTTCATAGAGAAAGAGACGTCTGAGTGCGAGGGCTAAGGGCTTACTACCACAACACTTGCCGAGTCCCAAACTGACCGTGTCTAGTTCATAATTATGATTCAGAATCCAGCTAGCTACCCGAGAAATCCCGAATTGTAGTTGACCATCATTGAACTAAATCGGGAAACCTTTTTTGGGGCCATTAGCCTTACCCCTTGCCACTCCGATTTTTTGCGCTTTCTACGATCGAAGAACCAACGAGAAACTAGCCTGCTATTTCTCTTATTGCATACGTTCCGCACGCACGCTAACGAGGAATCAACGCGCTATTGAACAGTGTAGAAGTGAAGTATAAAAGGATCAAATTACCTGGTAGGCATTATTGTAGCCAGGGTGATCCAAGTCATGACACAAAGCAGACGTCAGCATCACCAAAACATCACAGTCCCGCACTTTGCTGGGTATTTGCGTCAGCCATATCAAGCCATACATCTGAAACGAAAAGATTAAGTTATGCAGCTTTGTGATCAGAGATTACAGGGGCTGAATCAAGCCTGTCTAGTTCATTTAGTTGATATTTCACAATTATTCCACGAGTGCACGTAGGATATGAGATGGTAGATAGCCAACGAGGCGCTGGCTATAATCATCTCATATCCAACAAGCGCGAGTGGAATAATTGTTATTTAAAACGTCCACAAAATATCGAGAATTCTTCGCGACTTTATTTGTAAAAACAACCGATTTTGAGCTTAGTTTTAATTTAGCCTGCGTAGCAAGCGTTTCTGTGCGGTTTAGGAGCAAAGAATGAGGAACTAGAGTCAAAGACCGCGCGAAAAATGGCGCTTTTTGGTTCTCGCGGGGTCATAACCGAAAATCCCTTTCCACGGTCTTTTTTTGCTCCGAAACCAAACGGAAACGCTTGCTACGCAGGCTAGTTTTAATTTGGTGCAGACGCGTACAGTTACCATATTTGGAGAGCATGGTATAATGGCTCACATACCACGATGGTTAAGCCAATCAGAGCTCTGGAATTGCATTATCCAATGATTCAGTTTTTAATAATGTCAATTACACGTCCTTGTTCGCAATGGAACTTACAGGTTTTGCAACGCTGGCGAATGAATTACTAATACATATCAAACATTACAAACAACTAAACAAAATGAACTTTGAAAAACTGTTAGCCGGACAAGTTTTCAAAAACAAAATTTCAGTCGGTTTTATAATAATCTTCTTCAAGTTTGTCCATCTGCGCCTTCTTTTGTATACGCTGTGTTGTATATACCTTCTTTTACTGTTGATCGGTTGTTTTTATTTCCTCACACCGATAAATTTCGTGACACGGCTCCGTTACAGCCAAAGGTCACGAAAGAAGTGTCACGAAAAGTGGTCACACTGGAGAATTAAGAAGTGACAAACAGGAGAATTATGTCGACGTTTCTTACCATTTGTGTTACACAGAATGCATGTCTAAAATTATGGAAAGGAGTTGCATTGTAATTCCTGAAAACTTCAAACAAGAAGTTTTGAAGGATGGGTTTCTGCGAAAGAATCAGATAAGGAATAATAAGCATAGACGGGATAAGCCTTCCCTTCAAAGCAGCCTTTTTGAGTAAAAACAAAATAACAACGAAAAGATGAGCAGTACTATCATGAAAAGAGCGTATCACATTGGATGACTTTTTACAGAAAAAGACTGGACGGCAGAAGACGAAATATCTTTGAGAACGTGTATTAACATGGAGCGATTTCATTCCTATGACCTTGAAAAATGGTTTCGGTAAGTGTTCGTTATTTGTTTTATCAGCCAATGGATGGAAAGACCAAAATATAGCCTCTTCGTTTCCCCGCCAAAGAAAACCCTAACATGGAGAATGCATTGTTCGATTGGCCAATCGTGTTGCACTATGACGTCAAGGAGACGTATCGGTTGATTTCTAGAAAGTTCCTCGGGCATGACGTTTTTTTCACCCGAGTGTTCGATAAACCAACCAAAAGCCAGGCGCGTTTGTAACCGTTCGACAAACCAATCAAATCGCTCTAAGTCCTTTCGTTTGTTGTTTCTGTTTCGTTCGCGCGTTTTCATTTCAAGTTCACACGAAAATCGTTCTATTCTTAGAACGAAGGGCACGTGTTCACACAGCACGGGACGATTTTCGCCCGGCTGAAAAATTTGACTAGTAGACACTTTGCTTGCATGGGACCGTTCAATCGTTAAATGTCCAAATTTTCGTATGGTTGTGGTGGTTCCGTGTGCGGTGTGAACGCAGTGACACCTGACAGCCTGTTTGGCTGGAAGAATTACTTGGAAACTTTCCACTCAAAGTAGATTACCATTCACTTTCTGCCACTTAAATTCAAACGAGTCGTTTACAATAACTAACGGAACAAAGGTTTTATTACACAAGTTTATTACCTCAATGTGAAATTTCTCCATTAAGTTTAAGTCTATAAACATCTGCTGAAGTAAATACAGCATTTCTGCATCTTCCCACTGCCTGAAAAGACAAAAGGTGTATAATCTTTGCGTGAAATACCTACAGAAAAGAAACTCACACACTTAGGTTAAACCAGAGATTAAAACCAACAACAGACGAGATACAACTAAATTTGACTCTGAAGATGACTACATTGTCAACATGACCTGTCAATCACATTAATTTTGCAGTCTTAATTCCATGACTTTACTGCACGGGTTGTCGAGACATCATTTAGTGCCAACAACAATCCTATTTGGTACTCCACCAGTTCTACTTATGAAATGACGCTTGGATTTGAACTGTTATCTTGGGAATTCTTTTAACAAAGCCATCACATTATTTCCTGTATTTTGCCACATACAGGGCTTGAAGAAAATTGAATTTTAGCTTGTTCTTAAATAAGTAAGGGTTCAAATTTTGCTTGCCAAGGCTATTGCATCCTTTTCCAAATTTGTTTAGAAGATAATTGACCTGGGCCTTTAACCATTGGCAAAGTAAGCAAGAAAGTTACTTGCTACTTGTCCCAAAATAGGACGGAGATTTGTTTAAGTCCTGATATACCAAAGAAAATTTGAAAATGCGAATAAATTTTCCATACCAGTTATCAAATGAAGGCTTTCTTAACAGATTTCGGGTCTGCTCAGTGAGTTCTGCATTCCTAAAGAGGAAAGAAAGATGCGATTAAAACGTAGATGGATGAGAAAGCGCTTTAAACAGTCATGCCAGAAAGACACCTCTGCTCGTAGGTAACATTTTCTAAATAACACACTAGAAAATTAACTTACGATAACTTCTTGAACTTGTCAAGTACAACAATGAGTTCTCCAGAAGATCTTTTACGTAAACTGTGTTTTTCAGAAGATGGTCTCTTAGATGTACCACTAAAAATGGGAAAAATCATTAAAATTTTTCAGACAAAACAGAAGTTCAAGGCAGACAAAGATAGGTTTGACAAGGTGAAAAGAGAGTCAGTTACTTTTATTTGGCCAAGCTCAAGCAAGTATGTACAGCCTTTAAAGTCACTTCATCTAGCCTCAAAAAATTTTTTGAAGAACACTGATTACAGTTCTTCTGTTATTTGAATTCCCAAAAAAACTTCATTTGCCTGTCGGGCAAGTTAAGAATAGAATTCACTAGCCTGATAGCTAAATCTCTAGCCACGGGCTATCGAAAATGAACTTTATATTTGCTCAATCAATTGCATGCCGTTTGATTGCCAGTGTGCAGTGTATGTCTCCAGGAATAGTTATGTCCTGTGTTTAAGAGTAAAACACAGGCTCTTTTGACATGATGACATAAATGAATACTACATCACTTTAAAATCCACTATCTTACAACAGTACACACAGTACCTTGACATCTCTTTAGAAAGGCCTAACCAACTTAGGTGTTCTACACTCTATATAAAAAGAAAAATACACAATAACTCTCATTAACCAAGTGAAAATTACAGACCAAGTTTTTGTTCAACAATTTATAGCCCAAGCATGAACATGCTGGCCATAAATCAAAAGAAAAAAATTAGTATCTGTAATTTGCAGTAAGGACTATGAAAGCAAGGTTGTTAACCCTTTAAGCTCCAAATATCCACAGACAAATTCTCAAAACTGATCTCCATACATTTGCTTAAAGAATTAGTTGAGAGAATTTGATAAAAGATCAGAGCATTTTCCCTTTGGTAATCAATTTAGTAATTCTCATAACCTTTACTCTTGATGATCTGCTGATGTTGTTAGGAGAAAATTGATGTTGGTCACTCTTGGGATGCAAAGGGCTAAGATGCATGGCTTTCTTTCTCTGGAACATAAACACAAGGTTCGAACAGATTTTTGATCCAAAATTCAAGATTTTCTCCGGACTTTTTCCAAAACAATAATTTCTTTTTCCAGACTCAAGGTTTTGAAATAGGTGATCAATAGACAGCTTAAAAAAAACAACACAAGAACAAAGCTTTTTCCATGACAGGCGGGCAAGACTGAACAAGATTTCACAAACACAAAAAACGTTTCGGTTGAGAAGTACTTGTTGTAGCTTTAAAAAAAAAATCAAGGCTTTTTACCATTTTTTCAAGACTTTACCTCTATTTTACAGACTTTTTCCAGTTCTGGAAAAGTGCTGGGCAAATGTCAAGACGTTTTCAAGAATTCAAGACTCTGTACGAACCCTGTAAGCAATAGATACCTGACAAGGAAGACCCAAGACCCATACCCTGTTTTGTGGCACATACCAGTTTATACCCGTAGTTTAAAAAGGAATTCAGCTGTACAGCTGTATACATAGTTTGACATGTACATGTTTCCTGCAATGAAATTCGTAGCACAAAAAGTGAAAGTTGACACTCTTTGAAAACATTAAAACCTTTCATCACGAACCTCTAACTTCTGTTTGAAAGAATCAACTTTCAGTTTTATATCTTGTACAACAGAGGAGGTTTCTCCATTCTCTATGATGAGACTTCTCTCCAGAGCCTGTAGCCTGTAAAATTAATAAGCTGGGAATTAGTGTAATTCACAATGCACTTACGAGTTCTGAAGAACTTGTTAAAAAGTGTCAGTGCATTACAGATCTAGTTGAAATTTGGAAATGTTGGTTTTTGAGGTGAGGGGAGAACTGGAGTACCAGAGAAAAACCTCTTAGAGCAAAGGAGATCAGAACCAACAACAAAATCAACGCTCAAGTGCTGTCAACGCAGGGATTTAACATGGGCCACCTTGGTGGGAGGCGAGTGATCTCACTTCTGTGCCATTCCTTGCACCCCAAAATAAATTAGTGTCTATAAATAGATATCACAAGTTGTTTTTGGGATTGGTACAAAGCTGAAAATAATTTTTAACTGGGCTGCCCACAGTGGGCCCAGTTTATACCTTCAATTTTCTCCCCAGGGGGTTATTCCTGGGAATTAGTGGTGGGGGGTGTGCCATCCAGCTCTCCAAAGTGGACCCTATTTCAGACCAATACCTATAAGGCAAATGTCACGGAGTACCCACCCCCCACCCCAGGGATTTTCTCTGTCAAAAATGAACACTATCAATTATTAACTTAGTAACCCAGAGTGCGTTGCCTGATCCATAAAGTGTGTTTGTGCATCTTTGAAGAGTATGTTTAAACACTGATTTCTTTCAGTTTAATTCAACACATGCGCTTTTTTGGAGGTCTAAAATTCGGATTAGGATAAAGAAGACTCATCTGACAAAACAAGAACTTTGAGAAGGTCACCTCATAGCCTCATTGGCAAGATCGCAAATAAGCGGCAAAGCCTCGAGAACCCAAAGCTTCACCAGGAGCTTCAAATACCAACTTACTAGCACAAGGTTTGGTGACTTAGCATCCTAGAGCAGACAGTTGTTCTCAATGTGGCCCAGAGGTTTTGCTTTTGTTTGTATCTGTATCATTAAATTTGTGCATGATCGCCAATTCAACAAGCTTGATTGATGTTGGCATTCAGCTGTAGCATTAGCCAGTTTCGATAAACCTTGAAAGTTCACAGCTCACTTTAACATGCATACCTTTTTATGTACACGACCCGTATTTTACTCAAAGTGTTCTGAATACGTACATTGTACACTGTAAATGTGAGGAGGTAAAGTACATGTACGGTTTTAACTCCTGCGTGTGAAAAGTCTTTCCTTGAAAGAAAGGAATATAATACTATTTGTAGATCGCCTCGTCAAATAGAAACATATTCATTTGGATAGTTAGGATGGGCTTTAAATGCAATACCTGACAGAAATAAAACTGAAACTTTATTTCCTTGTGATATTTAATAAGCAGGAAATTACTGTTAAAAAGTATTTCAACACCAAAATTGACCCTGTCACACTGTATGAGCATGGAACCACAATAATGTTTGGAATTTCCGGTTAGATCAGTTATAGATATATCGTCTTCTGATCATCACTACCCCATGTATAGATGGGTTTTATATTTGGTAAGGTTTTATTTTAGCCCATGTCTCCCTTCAGCAAAAAATCGCCATGGCAGGCCAGTTAAATTTGCCTTTCGGCAAGTCTAGTTCTTTCTTTAACTCAGTGCCGAGCACCCTGTGCCTAAGGGGTACCCCCCACTGCAGATTGGCATTACAGATAAGATACTTCAAGTTATAGACACCTTGTTTCTATTGCATCCAGCGTACATCCTGTTTCTGAATCTGAGGGGAAAATTAGATGCAAAAAATGCTGGTTAGATTAAGATGCATGAAATGTTCAATCTTTGCTCCCTGCTCCAGACCTAGAGAAAGAGACTTTGTTGTCTATATCAGGGATTTAGACTGTCTGGGATGTAGCCTATAGCAAGACCTGTTGACAGCTATTTGCAATCCTAAGGGAATTATGTTCTATGTATATAAATGGCCTTACTGTTATCACTTCAAAAATGCTGATGTCTAGGGGTGCATTTTTGGGTAATTACTGGTAAAAGAGATGTCAAGAGGCTCTTATGTTAGATTGTAACCCTCTTAAAAAAACTGTGCTAGAAACAAGCTGTTTTCTCTATTAAAGAATCAATGTTCATAAATACTGACAATTTCACTAAAAATGCTAGTTTAGTGGAGTTGGCCGTGTTCCAATGTTCAAGGCACACAGTACTTTCTTTGTAAGAATGCCAGAACCACTCTCTCATACCAAAAGATGTCAAGAAGGTATGAGATTAGGTTTTTAATGAGAACATTCAAACAGGGATTTACACATTTCAATAATTTTTCATTATCAGAGCAAAAACAAAAATCATATTGTTATGAGGCCAGTTGGGGGCAAAATGGAGTAATTAGGCCTTTACCTTAAAATAACATATTTCTCTTATCAGGTGCTGTAAGCACTTTATTAAGAAAGGTTTCTTGGAGAAAGAAGAAAATATCAATGGTAACAAAAGAAGACTATTATTTTCACGCCACTTGTCAATTTGCACATGGCTTTTAAAAGAGTTAGTTGACTTTATAATTTGTTTCCCAGGCAACAAAGCTTTTATAGCATGCTCTAATCAATTATACCTGGAACAATTTTGGCGAGAAATGACATGCAAATTCTCAAAGCTTGGTCAACTGAATGAAAAACGACGTTAAATTAGAATCTAAGTCGAACTATTGAAAATTGGCATCATTAGTGCACACTCATTCATTATAAGAATTCTTTCCCGAACGCTGCACCATTCTTCCGAATAGGATTACATCTGCATGATACATTTCAGGAATTAAATATTGAAGTAAAATATATCGTATGTGTAATTATCACGAGACTTGATCTGACAGATATTAGCCGCGGTGTTCTTTGAAATTTCTCACTCGAACATTGCTTTTCTGTTTATTTACATTTTTTCAATTAATCTTATCAGTCGATGAAACGAACGCCTTTCAGTGGAGTGCTTCCATCTACACGTATCAAGGTCGAATTTAGGCCAACACAAATCTGCTATGGAATATTTGACAATGGACACCTGTGTTTTTTATCGCCAAAATTAAATAAATGGGAAGTCTATAAGCTTAATTATATAATGAATGAAGAGCCGACCTTTGGGAGCAATATTTTTTAATTCCTCACAACTTCAACTTTCCTCACACATGCACGTAAGCTTGAGAAAAGATTCCACTTGAGATAAACAATCGCGCACAAATAATAACTGCGTATTGAACTGCTTTCGTCTTCTTCTTCAGTTTTGGTACCGGCAGATGGCATTATTATATCAATCACTCAATATCACTAGAAAGTGAGACATGCTTGTAATATTAAGAATGACAGATATTTTTTCAAGCTATAGTACTATTTCCAAACAAAGTTTCCAGCAATTATAGCCCTACATGGTTCGTTACAGAAGGTGAGAAATCATAGCTAAGTTGTTTATACCTCAATAAAAACAAAACAACAAGAAGTATTCGAGATCTATAGCCAAAACAGCGGGAAATAAAAACTGGATAATGACCCAGCAATTACGTCACTAACCTACAGAGATTTTTATTCGTAATTTAAAAAAAGACAAGATCAAAATTACCACAAAACCCACAGCTTGCACAATTCGCAGCGACAACTTCCAATTGATATCTTGTTTCTGGCGTGTTTTCTTGAATAGTCGGAGAGATGTTTACAATATTTCCTTTCGTGTTGTAGAGTTTTAGAATGTCATATGGCCCGGCTTCGGCCGCGCAGCGAAACAACTCTGTAAAAGAACCAACAGGCAAATAAATCGCAAATACTCGAACGAAGATACCATATCTTATACATGAAAGATTGTGAAGTGGATGCACACAGACAGTACAGAGGCTTGTAGTGTAAATATTATATTATTGCCCACAGCAAAAGAACATTTCCTGAGACCCACACTGCCGGTAAAACAACCGCTAAATCTTTTCAGTGAAGCAAAGCTGGGTCAACTCAATAGAATACGATCTAAGTGCTTACATAAACAAAACGAAAGCCCACCTTTGATTTCATCAACTGGAAAATCCGACGAGAACTCAGCCTGTTCGGGCTTTCCACCCACCGTGAAATAAACCACCTTTGTGGTCATTTTCTTCCAAGACAGGTCATCGAAAAAACTGCTGATATCTCAAGCTAGTTTACATATTTAAAGAGGATGAAATGACTAAATCTAACTCGCGGTAGAACACTTCATCTTCGATTTGATAACTCGCTCATCTGCAGCTAGTTAGCAGCTTGTGGGCTTGTGCTATGTAGATGTAACTGACGTCACTTCCTCTGAATACATCCGGGAGTCTATATCCATTAGTTTCCGGTAAACTCAACGGCGATTGCAGTGGTCAGCTGATTTCTACCAAAAAAACAACATGGCGGACGATTAACTTCTTCTCTGCTTATAAAAGTGACCCATTTTGTCAATCATGTTTTCAGGCTGGAAGAAAGGAGGCATTCCTGGTAAGTTTATTAAGAATTGTTTACGCCTAAACTGATTCACAAGTTAAAAAAGGAATTCCATAGCAAACAATTCTTTGTGTAGAATCGTACAATTGTGTATAAGTACTTTTTATCATTGATCATCATGTAAAAAAAGTAAGCTTATAGGCTTACCAGTATTTTCTGATGATATTCCTAATTTACATTAATTTGGAAGAGTGCTCAAAAAAATCTCTGTGGGATTTTGTTAGTTTATTCGTATTGGATTGTCTGACTTTGCCTTTAGAGTATGTAGATGAAGAAACCCAGGCTTGAAATGAATGCTAAGTGTTGATCATCCACTGCGCACTTCTGTAAGGCAGTGATTGTTATTTTCAGGCAAAACTGAGATTCCAACCTACTCTTGGGCGAGGAAATAGGGAGTCTTTCTGCAGATTTTCTACAAAACACAGGAAAAATTTTAATGTCCTTTATCCAGGAAGTCAGTGCTTAGGCTGACACCATTGTAATCCCATGGTGCTACCTTTTTCATCACCCATTCTTGAATGTAGTGAATATAGTTTAATATTGTGAATGTGATTAGTGGAGAGTTTGGGTGAGAGATTTGAAGATAATGGCAGCCTTGTTGCCCCAGGGTGGGTACTCCCCTATATAAGCTATATAGGTATGTGCCACCCCATCAGGTAGGATTTTTGTGCTGTTTTGGTCTGAAAACGGATATACACTTTTCTCATTTTGGTCTGGAAGCAGGTATGGTTTTCTAGGGAACTACGGAGTGTATGAAAGTATTTATGGTTTCAATTCCAAATGAGTAAGAAAGAAGGAGTAGTATGCGAATTCAAAATGGATTTGAAGAATTTTTTTTGTTTGCACTCTAATCTAAGTAATGATAACATAGTTTCTGCCTAAAGACCAGGTCTGAAAATGGGTATGGATTTTATAGTTCTAGTCTGAAAATGGGTGTGGAAAATTACATTTTTTGGTCTGAAATCAGGTCAGGATTTGAAGAACAAGGTGGCACACCCCACCAAGAATTCCCAGGAGTATCCCCCAACCCCCGGGCTTGTAGCCATGAGCAGAAACCTCAAAAAAAGGTGACCTTGCTACTCTTGGAAGACCTTGTGGGATTGGTTGGGAAAACAATGAACAAACAAAGTTAACAATGGAACCAAGCCAAAAACCTAAAGAGCTACGGCCCATGGGGGACCCCTGGGGGACCATTTAAATTAGAGGTTCTGAAGAGTTGCAGGGTTACTGATTGAAGAAAAAAAGGACTTTCATAAATTTTGTCATTACTCCTAAAATTACCTTATTGTCTAATAGTATTTTCTTGCATTAATAATTTCTTTTAGAAACTGAAGAAGACTTGATAAGAAACACAGAGATAAAAAGAAGGCTCATCAGTGAGTTGTCTCTTGCAGTGAAGGAGGTTTGGAAATTTATTTTAAGAAGAGATTTGAACATTATTAATGTTAAAATGAAAAATGTAAATGTAGTTATGGAGGATGCCTTCATAGCGCAAAGAAAGTAGAATTCTCTGCTGGCTTACTTACAAGGTGTACTGCAACTTGAACTTGATACAAAAATTTTGATACAAAAATTTTGTACAGAATGTACCTGATCTGACACTGAACTTTACTCAACATTGTACTATTGATGTATACTGGTATTACTGGATAATCCACTAGCCTGCCAGAATTATCCTCATTTTTAAGCAGGATAATGTGTTAGCATTGAGGGATAATCTTCCAGCTTGGAAACGATCAGTCACCCTGGCAGGATCATCCACAAACAAAGTTTACAGAGTGTTTCAAGCCATTGAGATGCACATGGCCTTTGCTTATCCTATTTCAATGGCATGAAGCACTGTGGAGTATTAAGACTCTCCCCCGCACCCCACCCCTATGGATGGGTTGCTACTCCATTGCAGGGTTATCTCCAGCAATATGTTGCTGGTGCCCATTTATACAGCTTGGTGGAGAAAGAATGTGGAGCAATGTTTCTTAACATATGCCCAGGCTTTCATGCAGCTGCAAAAAATTGAAAAAATTGCAAGTAAATGAAAAGCAGTCAAAGAGGAAAATTGCAATTTTTGTGAAAACTGAAAAAACTGCAAAAATTGTAAAATTTGCAAAATTTGTTGAGTCAGTGAAAAGTACAAAATGTAGAAGTATTGGGGGCGGAGAGGGCCACAACTAAAACTGTGATTCAGTTTGCAAAACTGCAAATCCAATAACTCTGAGGACAGGTTATAATTATGCAAGTTAATCCTCCAGTCTGGCCAGAAAATCCACTTTCTCACCAGATGAAACACAAGCCTGGCGGGATAATATACCAGTCAGACAAATCAGAACTTTGCATGGGGTATTTTGCAAGAATTTAACCATTGTTTATTGACAACAAATACAATGAATACACTGTACATAGTGTCTTGGAACACTAAAGAAAGTGCTTTTTGTTGAAAAGATGATTAAAACTATCGTTACTTAACAACGATCAGGTGGAATTTTGAAAAACGTCAAAACTCTTATAATATAAAGTTAACATTGCTCCCATCACCGAAAGTCATCAGGGCAAGGTGAATTTATGACAAATTCAATCATCTATGTTTCATATTCTAGACCAAGATTCTCTGACTCCTTTACCTATCGAAAGCGAAACATTTATACAGCGGCAAGCAGTTATTCATTTTTTGCGGATATGGGAAGGAGTCTTGGTACAAATGTCAGGACTCATGCTCGTCACAGTTCTCGCCTTCAATACTTCGTTTTTGCGCGTCGAGCTCGAGTTTTATGTACAGTCTTTACTATCTCGAATGTACTTATCGAGATCATTAAGACCTTTCAGATCGCTGGACCGTCAAGTGTAGAAATCGCAGCGACAGTATCCAAGCTTAACTCCCGGGCTTAACTAAATATCATCATTTCGTGTTGTAGAGTATTGTTTGTGATCGGGCGAATTGACTTAAGTCCGGGCGAAACGCATCTCGCTGGAACTCGAAGTTTTGGAAAGTCTGTTTACATGTGAGAGTGGTGACCCCTACTGATACGTTAACCATTTCTGTACAATCGGAATGATGCCTTTATCTTCAATTTTTACTGGCAATCCCCAAGCACAAATTAGAAGACAACTGAAGGCAATGTGAAGTTAAGGCTACATTTAGAGGATTCAAAGAATTTCTCTTCGCAACCCAACCATAGTGGTTAAGGGAAATACAAGGTAAGAGAAATAAATAGCTAAAGACATAGTAGACATAGACATAACGAGCATAGACATAGACATAACGAGCAAGTTTACCAAGCGCTCAAATATACATACTCGTAACACTCGTACACGGAACTCTTTGCAGATTCCGCTATACAAAACGGCTATAGGCCAGCGCACATTTTCCTACAGAGGGGCTTACATATGGAATAACTTGCATAATGAACTTAGGCAAAGTGCCTCACTGGCATCTTTCAAGCGCGCCCTGAAAGACACACTATTGAGGCAGACATTTCCTTCATAAGCGTTAGATTTTAATAGAATACCATCATAAATGTGATTTCGAGTTTTTATTGTTATTTTCGCTTTTATAAATTGGAAATAGTTTGTAAATAGTTCCTGAAAAACCTCACGAGGATGTTACTATTAAAGTTATTGTTATTGTTATAGTTAGTAAAGCATAAATCGCCTTTTTTTTGCCAGAGATGCTTATTTTGTAGCACAGTTCAGATGCTGATTATTTGCTGTACTTCAATTATTACTGATTCTACTCTTTAAGACTTACTGGCAAAAAAAATCATATCCTTATTCTCAAACGATTTTATTCACTGATTAAATAATGTTTTCCGAGGAATGTAAATTTGCGCAACCTTTTCCTTAAGTCATACGAGTGTTTCATCCCATCTTTAAAACAACTCTGAAGATGTCCGAGGACTCCCGAAGTCTCACGAAGATTTCCGAGGTATACCCGAAGTGTTTCCATTATCGTTCGAGAGGTATTGACAGACTTTTCAAAAGTTAAAATTCATTTGACAGGTTATTTGCAAGATTAAACATGATAGCTAGGTTAAAAATACCTTTTTATCCATGCTTGATTCACAAGAGTTGCGGCACGCTGAAGGGTTTGTGTATACAGTTCTTTTGAAGACACGTTGCAAATTCGTTAATTGCACAATGTTCTCATCGTCGACAGGTTATTAGCGTTGAAAGTCTACCATTTTTCTTACTCTCACATAAGTTCTACAAAGTGGTAGGCGAATGGAATGTGCGTGCCCTTCTAGCAATGGATTTGGCTGTTTGTTAGGGGTACATTTCCAAATTTTCCAGCGACAGCAGTTGCAAAAACGGAAACATTAATTCTCGTATTTTTTTTACAATTTTTACCCAACAGAAGTAGACTATCAATAGTCCTTTCAGTATTTTCCTGTGGGAAAATAGAGCGAGCGAAGTACGCGAACGCGAGCGAAAGTAGGAAGGCGACTCGCGGGTTGTGATTTCACGCGCGCACACTTTCTATCGTTTCTCTATCACCGAGGAAGGTAGGGAACCACTCGTAGTTTATATCAAAGTGTCGTCAAGGAAATATGTAAATCAAACTTCAATGCCTGGTTATGTTATATTCACGGTGTTCCCTATACACTACTTGTCTTATACCTCAGGGTTTTGGGAAGCTATTCTAAAAATAGACATATACATTTTCGGTTGTTTCAAAGTTTCACTGCAAGTGAAAGAAGTGTTAGAAGTGGTGAAATTAATACAAACCACCGCCCTTCTGATTACCTTATTCATTCATTATTTCATTATTTCCGCCGTCAGCGGGGAAATAAGTAAGTCAAGCTACCTTGTCCGTTATAGCGGAAACTATTGCTGATCAATTCAAAAGCTATTTCCAATTCTCTCGTTCAGAACTTTCTTGAAATGGAAGGAGACAAGTGAAATAATCGCAAACGAATGGTGACAAAAAATTATACTACTGGTCAAAAAATTTAATGAACCAATTAGAAATGTTCTAAGCAACATCATATGCGAAAATGTGAAGTATAGCTGTTACTAAGGGTAACTCAAGAAAAGCCAAGCTATCATGCCCGTTAGCTCCCGTTATAGAGGAAACTATTGCTGATCAATTCAAAAGCTATTTCCAATTCTCTCGTCCAGAACTTTCTTGAAATGGAAGGAGACAAGTGAAATAATCGCAAACGAATGGTGACAAAAAATTATACTACTGGTCAAAGAATTTAATGAACCAATTAGAAATGTTCTATGCAACATCATATGCGAAAATGTGAAGTATAGCTGTTACTAAGGGTAACTCAAGAAAACGGAAAATCGACAAAGTTCGTCGAAGTTCGACAAAGTTCGACATGTGTGGGAATAGATACACTCTGAATCGTCTATCTATAACGACGACGTTTCCGGTTATAATGGGCATTGATTTTATACGTTTCCTTGACGGCAAGTAAAGTGAACGATCAGAAGAAAGAGGGGTCTGCATTGATCGCGTCACTTTTTTTTCTTGAAACGAAAAATTTAAGCAACTGAAATAACTGACTGTTACACCAGAATGTGAAATGACTTTACAGTTTTTAAGCAACCTTGTCTACCAGATAAACATAACGAAAGAGTGAAGATTCGGCTGTTTAGAAATGATATTACAGATAATACAAAGAAATATTTTTCATTGAAGAACAGAAAACGTAAAAAGGGACCCTGATGGGTCCGTAAGCTCCATGTAACTTGCAAGAAATTGTTGGCGATGAGAAATATTTCTCTGTTAGATATACATAGTCTGTTACTAAGGGTAGCTTAATTGGAAACCGACGAAGGCCATTTACACTGAGGTGTATGACATTTGCAGACTGCAGACTGCAGACTGCAGACTGCAGACCGCAGACCGCAGACTGCAGACTGCAGACCGCAGACCACAGACCGCAGACTGCAGACTGCAGACTGCAGACCACAGATTGTAGATTGTAAATTAAAAGACACCAAAAATCTTCCTAATAAAGGTGACACCATGAAAAATATAACATGGTGTGAAAGTGAGAAAGTAGCCAAGTTGGCCTCATTTCGAAGATGCTGTTGGCTATTCTTCACCGACGCGACTCTTTATTGACTCATCCGGCATATCACTAATTGCGCTGATTCTTTATTCTTCTTTGATTATTGTGAATTGATAATGACAAGTAGCAATGCCCACTAATGCCTGTCTAAATAGTAGTCTTCTTTAAAAAAGAGCTTTAAGATTGTGAGCACTTCGTGCTCACTACAGTCACGTCGACAAAAACAACTAGGATAGATCATGGACATTTAACACCTTTTAAATGACGTATTTCATCTTTAGCAGTATTTAAGGATATGCTAAATAATCTAAACCGAACAGATCCTACCTGGACTCGACGAATTACCGGAAGTGCATTTTGAATTTCTAAATAGGCAAATCGACAATGGCTTTTTTAACAGGCCAATCATTGCTCATACTCAAATCCTAGTACACAGGTGGGGCCCCCGTAGAATAAGGATTCCGGCGCTGTTTCACAGACAGACTTA